CAAAACAAGCTCATTCTATCCACTGGAGTGATATACTGAGTGCTTTGTTATTGCTGAAGTCAGGAGGTAGACTGTAGTAAAAAAGTAATCATGTATTATGAGCTAAATCACATTCTGGGGAAGGATGATTATGCTAAGAAGGAAAGCAGCATAAAGGCCTTATACCTGCCCACCCTAAACCTACCATTGCATGTATGTCACAGGCAAAGACACTTAAGATATATATAAATCAGGTGTAGAAGGAAGTGGTTCCTGTTTACCAAGCCACGTGGCAATCCCTACCCAGGGGTAGCCAGGTTGCCAGCATTCACACTACACTGTGTAACATTTATGGCCTGAAGCTTTACCAGAGCATCCTAGAACAAGCTTCACCACATTCTCCCCATTCACCCTCTGGCTCCAGAGGAAGGGTAAGTGGGCACAGATCCTAAACTTAGTTTGTCGCCAGACTTCCTCAGGAAGGGCAGAATGCTGCTGCACATTTCAAAGATGAAAATAAACATTCAGCTTTAACGTATGAACTTAAACAGAAAGTGAAAACACTTACATGTTTCTTTAAAAAAATTAAAAAAATAAAATCAGGTGTTCTAAGATAGCAGAAGTTTTACCACAATAAACTTTAAGGCTCAGCTCAGGGTCACCAATTCAGACTCCAAAATGGGTCACAGATATAGATTTTAACTGTTCATCACCCACTGGCAGGTTAATAGTAACAGTAACAGTTGACTCAAATTAGTGAAGCATCACATGGCAAGCCTTCCAAAACCTAAAATACTTTATGCATCTATCCCTTGAAAAAGGGTTCTGCAAAGCCAGTATGCAGGGTGGGGAAAAGTGACACCTTTTGCAACATGTTATTAAAAGGTCTGAAGCCATCAGATACAGATGGCAACTTCCGGCATTTTTTATTGGAAAAGGTTGCTCTATAACCAACTTCTCAGTTTTGTTTTCAGCCTTTGTGCTGTATCCCTCCACAGAGGGTTAGAAAGTCTCTTCTGTTCTTAAAAGATGACTGTGCTGAACAGCAGCTATCCTTGCAAGAGGAATCTGCAAATGCTGTTTGATACTTTGCAGCAAACTCTGTCTTTAACTTATTTCCCCAAGACAAACACTGTAGATCTACTGAAGGAAACCTCTCAAAAGACTGAGGAAAGGCTTGTGAATTTTCATGCTTTTTTTAGGATTTAGGTAGGGCTATAAAGAAAGAACAAACAAACGCACACTTAGGCAGGGACAAAATCTGATATTAACCCTAGTCTTCCCTCATTTGGCTGGGGGAAAGTGTAAGTTCTTTGAATACACATGCCTTAACCAAACTCCAGCCCCCATCCCCAAATCTTTATTCAGTGCTCCCCTTGTACATTACTTTGACTTTTTAACCAGAGACTAAAATTCCCTGTTAGACTGCTCAGCTTCAGCCTCTGTCACTCATTCTCCAATCAGAAGAGGAAGTAATGCTATTTCCAAGGTTAAATGTCAAGGTTTGGGGGGTTTTTTTGGAGGTATCATAAAGCAGCAAGAGGCACTCAATCCGCTTCCCTCTTCCTTCTTGGGTCACCTCCTAAAGCTGCAGTGCACATTCATACAACTTCCCAACTTGAGGAGGCCATTTATATTTCTAACAAATGAGCAGCATCTGCAGCTGAACTAACAGATCTGCATAGCAAGAGGCAAATGCAAATGCTGCAGAAAACTGCTATTTTTCTAGTTTTCTCTGAACCGAATCCTTGCAGTATCAGATGCATCTATAACAAAAAAAAGTGAATTAGAACAATCAAAACTAGAAACATCTCTCTGGGGTTACATGCTTCTTAAAAATAAGATCTGCTATTAAATACTGATCTGTTCTGAAGAAATATAGTTCAACACCAATATAGTCAACTCCCTCCCGCAAGTTCTTGAGCAGTGTGAAGTACTATAATCAAATCATGAGGAAAGGTGGCCCCCAACTGATGAGTTCAGCACGCCACCACAACCTCGACAATTCCAGAGGTGCACGGCAGGAGCATCTTGCCCTTGGTTATCTTTAGGCAGCTGGATCACCCTGAAGGACAAACGACAATGTCTGCTGAGACTGGCTACACAAAGCAGTTTATAGCTGTGACCAAACAAGTGCACAGCTGCAAACAGATTTAAAAATGTCCCAGTGGGTGAAAATCTGACCCCTCATTACATGAGGTATCAGATACAGACGTTTCAAAATGCAGCGTTTTTTGTTTGTTTTTTTTTAACAACTTGTCTGCCGAGCTCCCAGCCTGTTGCCATGTTCAGAAACTGGGGGGAGGGGGGAAGGGAGCAGAGGGAGTTGAGTCTGAGGGGTTTTCAACCCCCCTGGAGGGTGGGGCAGGTGTATTGGACCCCGCCCCCCGGAGGTGGGGGGGATCCAATTCACCCACCCCACATTTCAGCACCAGTTAACCCGAAGAACGAGTTCCCTGTGCTGCCTTTCTCCCTCCCATTCTGAAAACAGTGAGCAGTGGCAGAGAGCCCTGGCTTTGTTACGCTCCCAGCCAGCAGCTAGCTTCCCCTCCACCCTGGAGCCAACAGTGAATTTCTGTTTGGTAGGCGGTAACTCAAACACTTTGTAAAAACCGTTCCAAGTGACAGCTGGGAGCTGCACTTGTTTGCACCCACATGACCTGGATCTTCCACTGATTTAAGGTCCCTTAGAGCCAAGCCAGACTATGACAGCACAAGTTAAAAAGCCTATAGGCTGCTTTGTCACATGTTAAGAGCAAGGCTGGTGAAGAGTCAGGGCCCAACGATTAAAATTTGGGTGCCGAACAGAACACGAGTAAGGGGTACTAAGGGGAGAATCAAGCCATGTATCCAACCTACTCGCCTCCAACATTTCACTCCTCATCTTGTATAAACAACACTCCATTATGCCAAAGGGAGCAGTTACTGCCCAACTGCCCTTCACCACTAAAACGTTTTTGCAACCTTCCTACCTTGACACATCACTGAAGAGGTGGTTACCCAGGCAGCCCGAGGAAGGAAAAAAAACAAACAAGTTAATACATGAAAAGTAGTGGCAGGACAAAGGAGAAAAATGAAACTTTAAAATACAGTGATAAAAATATAAGTGTGCTGTTAGCTTTCTCTTGTTGGATGGGGGAAAGGAAAGAGGGGCTTATATTTTTGTAAGAGAACATGTACATTTTATATGGCATATAAATATGGAATTATATTGGAATGAGCTGTATATGGAATATAAACAAACTAGAATAAAACACTCCTAGCTCTCATAGTTTGCAACATTTTTTTTTTAAAGTTCGCATTTTTAGGGCAGTTTAATTACCTTTTTATAGTGTTTTTAAATGGAAGCCAAATCAGGCTAGGATTATTATTTACTTACTTTTTAGATTTATACCCTACCCTATCCCAAAGGCTTAGAGCAGCATTTCATTTATTTGTATTTTTTTGTGAAAGTGTTACTAGTGTTTAATGAAAAATATTGCTAGCTGAGATGCATTAACAAACAGGTGAACCTCAGCAAGTGGATTGTTTATAGGACAGAAGCCAATCGCCGCCTCCTCACCATTTCTTAGCTGTACAGGTAGTCGAAAGGCGGCGAATCGAGGAGCTCCAGAAGAGAAGTAAAGCCAAGGGAGCAGTGAGCAGTTCTTACAATCACCTCAGCTGCTCCAGTGTAATAATATAGTTGGGAGGAGGGAGAGGTTCCCAGGAACAAAGCTTTTTCAGCCTTTCCTCCACCCTGCATCCTCTCCTCTATATTCAAATGATTCTGCTATGCACACTGAGTCATCATTCGATACCACCCCCTCCGTCTATAACTAAGGAAGTTTTAGAGACATTTCCTGCTGTTTTCAACGCTGGGTCAAACTCCGATGTTGCTAAAGCCCCTGGGAGCCCAAGCACAGTCAGGCTACAAGCTACTACCAGCATTTCAGCCTGTGACAATAAAGCCAGTCTTCCACCTGAAGGACAGCGTGCTTAATAAGAGGTGGCTGCTGGCAGTTCTGTCCGAAGTACGGCTCCCACCTTTGCCCACAGTGGTGGAGCTGAAGAAGCATTAGCAACACTAGGCAACTTATTTTAAAAATGAAGTTTTCCCCTCATGTAACACCAGGTGTCGAACTGGAGGCAGAGGCTCAAGTTTGAGAAACGTCCACCCACAGAAATGCTTGATTACAGATGGGGAGGCATTGTGGGAGGGCAGAGTGTATTCCCTCAAGAGGCTGGATCTTTTCATCCATCACTTCTACCTTTAATCTAGAAGGACCAAAGGTAGATTCACTAAAGGAATTTCCCCTGTTGTTGAAGCTTGCAGAATTTAATACGCTGGGTATTTAGTCCTCATCTTGTTAGGCAAGGCATATATTATTTAGAGCACAGATCAAAAGGATTCATCTTCCTGGGCCCAGCAAACAGATATTTTCTAGATACACACTTCATTCTGTCATGTCCTGGCTGGATCCCCAGGGCCTTAATTACTGTTTTTAATCAGTGACAAATAGTCAGCTGGGAGTAGATGTTATCCCCAAGATTCATTCCTAAACCACAGAACCAAAAGGGAGGATTCCCCCTTCCCGAGAGAGAGAAAAAGCTGAAGACAGAGTTTCCAAGTTATTACTCCTGTCGGGACGCAGCAGAATCACTGACATAGTTAGAAAAGTTACCAAGTGGTTCTTTTTTTAGGCTCCAATTTTCTCAAACTCTTGCTTTCAAGGAGGGCAGCAAAATGGAAATTTAAATCCTCCAGTAATAGATGGGTGGAAAAATATCCCTCTGCAGTAATTCAAGTCAGTAGGTAAACTTAGCCTCAGCATCTCTCTCTGTTTCTGAACAGAGGAAACAGGTAGCTGCACATGTTTAAGTGCTTGCTTCTTCTTTCCTACCCTTTGAATGGAGGCAGCACAACCAAGCCACTGCCTGTACATTTCAGCTAAAAACATCAAAGAGATTGAGAGAAGTTCTCTCACAGGAAAGGCTTCCCTCAGAGCTCAGGCGGGAAGTATTTTGCAAGGAAAATTATTATTATTAACAACAACAACAAACCTCCTAGTTTCCCAGCCTCTCAAGCACAAATAGACGAGGGAGGAAAAAGCCGGTCAAAGGAAACCTCCAAAAGGAGAAGCAGAGAACAAATCATTCAAGAGCCACTGCTCAATGTGCACAGAAAAGATCTAAAAAGGGAACCGGTGCAGAATCATTGCATTCCCAGCCACCAAATCTCAACCATCAAATCAGTAGGACCAACCATTGTACTGCTAGCCTTGAACAAGTTTTTAGAATTGGCTCCAAAAATCTGGTAAAGTAACACAAAGCCCATTCGCCTTAAATCCTAACTGCTTCATCACCTCAAGAGATGTGCAAAACAGCTCCCTGTAGTGTCATGACAACCCAGGTTATCACTTTTTATCCTTAACAGATGAGCTCATTATTCATAGTCAGATTAGTTGAGGGGAAGAAAATGGAGTGATGTTACCATGTGCAATTTACAGGAATAGATTCTTGCCCACCATGGGTCCAAAAACTTAGTACAAGTTTAATGAGGAAACACTCAACTGCGTGGAAGTATCTGTGCCTTAAGAAGATTAATGAAAAGTTTTGTTAACCCCCCTTCCCCCCCCCCAAAAAAACCCCAAACCACCAAACACACAGCCCCACCTTCTAGGGAAAAGACATGACTGGACTGACAACTAATTCAAGGCAGCTGACAGTGTCAGTGCAGGAAAGGCTCATAGCTAAGCTGCCAGAGAATTTGTTACACTTACGCCCTAGTAATGATGACTCATATTCACTTACAAGGGCCACTTACACCCGACTCGGGAACTGCATGAGGGCCTTCAGTACCTACATTATCTGTCATATAATCCGAAATGTGGAAAGTACAACATGCCTATTATTGCAAATTAAAAAATTAGCAGACTGAAGGGCTATAGAAGCCCTCACTCCCTATTATACAAAATGGACAGGATTCTTTGCAAATTAATACTGCAGACCAGACTTACGATTGCCCAGCAGCAATGTGTAGCAGCAGATATAGGAACCTATGGAAAACCTGGGAAAGTAACTTTCCATCAGCTAAAGGGCTAGTTATTTTTTCCTCCAGAAACTGCTGGTGACTTCCCACCTATGGATATGGAAAATAGTTTCTCAAAAGACCTCAGATCTGTGGAGAGGCAGGAGTGAGATCCAAGGAACCAGTTATCAACGGCAGTCAAGGTATTCTTAAAAACTCCTATACAGATGTGCAGACTTCAACCTGAAAGGCATAAAAATGAAAGCACATGCAGAAGGTCAAAAAGGGCATATTATAACTCAGTTGGGGCCAACCTTTTTGGCAGGTTTAGCTCTGCACTTTCCTTGACTAGCATTCTGATCCCCCTGCCTGATCTGCTGCTCTGTTTTCTGCCCCATTTGCCTCTGTGCTGCCTGCCCCGTCCCCAATTTGCCACATGCTACAGACTGTCTGTGCCACTTGTGGCATGCATACCCGTAAGTGGGGCACACCTGTTCTATCTTACTGTCTACTGCTTCTTCCATTATTTTTTTATTTACACAAAATAAAAACCAGGTGCCAATGCAAGTCATTCTGGTTTCAGAGACTGATGCAAGCAGGCAGTGTCTGTGATACCAGTAATCATGCCACAAAATGTCAGTTATGGGCACTTCTGTGGAAGTGGAAGGAGGAGGTATGAAGACTTGCATGCAGCTTTTGCCCGACTTTAAAAGATTTAAATCATATTCTGTAGGAATTTCACAGTCATGTCAGATAAAGTGCTAATATAGCCTATTGGCAGTGTGGAAGCTACCTATGAATTTTTATACCATTCTTCAAAATGAAATATTAGTTGACCATACCTAAAAGTAGCCCTGGCATGCTTATTTAGCTCTCTGCTCTGCCATAGACAATGAGCAATTTTTTTCTCAAGCTGTTCCTGAAGTTCCAGACCCTCCAACCTGCGTCTACATTGATGTTGAGAAGACTTGACAACTTGCTGTTTTGGTACAGTTATGTACGTGGACATTTAAAAAGCGGTAAAAAGAAGTATGAATTACACCTTTCTGGAACAGGACAATTTTTGTACTAACCATACTCATTTACCAAAGCTACTCAGCATTAAGGGTCCTACTCAAAAATGTATTTCAGCCAGTCCTATTATTGCAATGCCTACACCCACCCTGCCTTACTTGTTGCAACTGTTAGTATGCAGAAGAGAAGCAGAGCTAAAATCTACATCTAAATACATCCAGTTTTAAATTTCCATGATGTAGGAGTGCTTGGACTGTAATGTAAATTCATGAAAACCTGAAGATATTTGATTTATGCAGTTTACAAAAGTGTCACACACTTTGCCAGCTGAACTTGTACATCCATAGGCAGATTATTAGACTCCTCAGAGTACCAACTTTGCTATCTGAAAGCTTGACAGATTTCCCCTACACTCTAGGGGAAATTGCAAAATCTGATTGCATTTCAAGTCCTGCACTGTATCTGCTCCTTTCAAGTTCCAATCTCTGGAGCATTTTAATCAGCTGTGACCAGTTCAACAAGACCTGAATTCACCATCTGGTTTTCCTTGCAAACAGCCCTGGCTAACTGCTCAGGAACCCACTGTCTCTGCCAGCTTCTCTAATGTCTCATCTATACCTTCATCCACAGCATGCTTGCAAACGCTCCCCAAAAGACGCATGTAAACCTGCACAGTGATTCTGCCAGCAGAATTTGTCAGCTCTTTGCTCCAGAGCTAGTGGGCCTGCAAAGAGTGCCATAAGCTTAGTCCAAACCAAAACAGCTTGCTGCACTTCCAAGAAGAGTTACGCCTTTCAGTTACATAAGCTATTTCAGCAGCTGAACTTCTAATTCTTGTAAGCGGATAGCTCTAGTTTGCTAAGAGTGCCCCCATGCGCACTTAGATACAGCAGTCTAACAGAGTATTTTACAGTTGGGGGGTGGGGAGGGAGGAGGGAGAAGAGGGGTAG